TCGTGCAATTAAGAGGGCTAACATAGTAAATTTTATGTTATTTCTGTTTAATCACATAAAAAGTGGAAAAATGCTGCTCTGTAGAGTGCACATGATAAGAATGCATGCAGAGCTTATGTCTTGTTTTGTCATGTCTAAGCATGATTCTGGAGTTCAAATCTCTGCTCCACTACTTATTTGCTGTTTGCTGGGGGAAGGGATGAACCTCTCTGGAGCTTAATTTTGTCATCTGTAAAATAGGGATAAAATAGTACTTTCATCTAGAATTGACATGAAGCTTAAATGATATGATACAATTAGGCACACGGAACATGCCTGGCATATAATTAACACTCCATGAAGGCCCAATGGTGTTATCTGGTCAACATGGTGATACCGCATACCTAAATACTTCACTTTGAGTAAAAGGTACTCTGAAAACTTCACGGAAAAATGTTTCTAAGCTATTAGATGGGATCATGTAAAATGGAAAAATGTAGATGGAAAAATGTAAAATGGTTACTTTTTAAAATATTCAAGATACTTGGGAACGAGTCGTCAGTGGCTTTGAAACATTCAAGGAATTCTTTGGGAAACTCCTCTCTAAGGGAGGCTCAGGAGTCATTGCTGGCCTAGGAGGAAAAGTCCCATAGCCAAGGGGGTTCCCTTCAGGGTCAGTGGAGTGGAGCCTGGGGGTGCGCACTTGCCTGGCCCTCTCCAGATGATGTGGAACTGCTGACTAATTGTGGCACAAAGTCCGAGCTTGAGGCTTCCCCCCTCACTGATTCCCCACCGTGTCCTTGCTCATCTTGGCCAGGACACAGCGAGCTGGAAATTCTGCAAGGAGAGCAGCACGATGAGAGAAGTGGGCCCCCCCCCCGATAATCTCATTTTGGAATTGCTAATTTCAGATGTGATGATGGAGCTCACTGAGCCAGGCCGCGAGAGACCAGGCATTACCCAGAGGTGGGCACTTAGCGGAGACGAGGCCCCCTTAATTAGGATTCTGGCACCGTAGGTGGGAATGTTGACTATTGCTGTGAATAGTAAATCATAAATGCTAAATTACATCCAATCTCAGAAATAACTGTGCAAAACTTCTCACAGCATAGATAATCAGGCAATTATTGAGATGGTTACAGCACACACAGGCCACGACAACTTTGTTGTGAGCTCCCTCATCCTCTGAGGTACAATCTCATTTATCCCAGCTCCAGTTTTATGTATTTTACTCTGGTAAATAAGAATGAATGTTCAGTCTAAGTTTTAGACTTTTTAAAATATGGAACACATAACGTGGTCCACAGTTTAAGCCTTAAACTTATAAGTTAAAACATTAAATGTACCACTTGTTCAAAAGACAAAGATGATGGAGGAATCTTACTTGACTATGATCTCAGCCAGGGGCTGGGCCTACGTGTGTTTTTAATTTTCTCTTTGCTTGTTTCCAATGTAATTTTTGGAAAATAAAAATTTTCTGAGCCCCCGTTTGTGCCTGTATAATTTAGAGAATTTGCAATGATTTTAGCAGGGCTCTGCCCAACACTCAACTGATAATAAAAATAACACGACCTCTTGTGATTTTAAGCATGCATTTGTGGCATCCCTGTAGCAAGAACTTCACGCAACTTGGGTCACATTGTCGACCTCTACTTTGCTAATCAAACACGTAGAGGTCAAACATCCTATGTCAGGGGGCACAGAGGGGAAATGGTACCATGTACCTTGCACCCATTTTGGTCTCAGTCCATGCTGATCACATGATTGTTGGTGACTGAGGGAAGACGTTGGAAGAAGTAAAGAACTTGCTTACTGGGCACCGTCTGAAGGCACAGATTCCACGGAACCATGACGGCACCCTTCAGTCACAAACGTGGTTTTGCAGGTGGATTTTGCCTGGTCACTGGGCTTGGCTCTTCCTCTCCCTGACTCCCGCCAGCAGGGGTCACTGCAGAGCGCTCTGGGCTGCTGATGGACTGGTGGACCCTCTGTCCACCCCATCTCTCCCCTAGTTGAGGAGGCTGTAGAAAGTCAGCCTCCAGAAGGGGCCCTGGCTTCCTCCCTGTCCTCGAAGGGGACAGAACTCCCAGATCCCAGGAGGCCTACTTCCCACTGACAAGGCTGCTGTCCTCCTTGTGGGACGGGGAGGGAGGCCAGCGGGGCTTGGGTGGGTTCCACAGAATGCTGAGCTCTCCAGCTCTTTCTGAGGGATGGTGGGGCTGGGGTCTCGCATCACACTTCCCTGGGTAAGTGCCAGTCTCTGAGTTTCTCCAATACCCTATACCACAGCCTGCCAGGAGGAGGAGTGGAATTCCACCAGAGGCCTGCTGACGGGAAGGGACCCACTTCCCGCAGTTGGATGTCACGTTAAGATTCATTTGAAGTCATCAAGAATTGCACCAAGAACTGCATAATTAGGAAGGCAAGTGACTGCGCGCCATGCTGTATGATTTACAGAATGCTTCCCTTTCTAGATTCTGTTTAATTCCCACAAACCGAGATTTATTCTTATTGTGCAGACAACAAATCTAAGTTTGAGAGAGGTTAAAATCCTCTCCTCCTGGTGGAGAATCCCCACGTGACGGCTCCCATCCTCAAGCTCAGTTCTCTCCACAGACACTGAGCACTTACAGGATGTCTCTAGAAGCAACTCCATTCATCTCAAGTATTTAAAGCAGCTGTAGGGAACCCTTTGCCGGGGCTGTTGTATTCAAAGACCAGTATGACATCTCCAAAAATTTTCTCTCTTGTGCTGAATAGAGAGGAACATTTTAATAGCTACTTATTATAATCGTGTTCATTACACTTTTCAATTTGCCTAAAATGCAGGGCCTGTGTTAAAAGATGTGAGACAAACTTTACAGAAGCAAAGGGGTGAGGCTGTCTCAGCTGCTCCTCAGCCAGGAGGGAACGAGATCCCAGAGGTGACAGAGTCCCTGAGCAACCGTGAAGCGCTGCAGCCGCAACCCAAGCTTGGCAGGCAGGACGTGTGTCAGGCTGGCGCAGGACATCTGTCCCCAGCAAGGTTTTGGCTCTGTGATCTGGATTCTGTTTCATGTTTCAGAGGCAAGTTCCTTTCTCTGAAGTCTACATTCCTTCCCTGCCCTTCCGCTAATGGTGCCTTCCAGATTTAGACACCCGCGTCAGGTTGGCGCCCCACACTTAAGATCTCCAGAGTGGACCAGATTAGCTATCTTCTCACACCATGATTCCTCAATCTGCCACTGGACATGCCTCCACTCCATCTCTAGGTGTCTCATTGTAGGCCTACCTGGACTCTCTGTCCACTCCGTCTCTAGGTATCTCATGATCCACAAGGCCCATCTTTGTATCCCTGCATTGAGATGGTGCCTGATAAAGACAGCTTTTGCTAGGGTGCATGCACTAGACGTTGCTGTTCTTGGAACACCTCTGTGGTCCTCCGTGGCAGGAACTCAACAGTGGTAGGCACTCGCCTGGATGAGGAACCCCCTGGGGCAGCGTTGCCACTTCTCCTAGTTAAGGAGGTTACCTCTGCATCACGCTCCTGCAGGGCCAGGAAACCAAAGTGGAACAGGCAGAGTCTCTGTGATCTCTCCAATCCAGAGCTGCCTGTCAGGCTTGTTTAATGACGTGTAACAGGTAAAAAATGACAAGAAGAACGTGAGTCAGGGCAGGGATTCCTATTCATGACATTCACTGTTTTATCCCCAGAGCCTGGAAGAATTCCTGGCACACACGTGTTCAATCAATATTTTCTAAATACATGACTGATTGGGAGAATGACCGACTGAATGCATAATAGACTAACCCAGAGCCACTGCCCTCTCCTTCCCTGACTTCCAGTCTCTGTGTCGTGTGACAGTGTGTACATATGCAGATGGATCTTTCAAATAAATACAACCAAAAATTGAGTATCATGATCCTCTCTTTATAAAAAAAAACAATTTAAGTCTGAGGATGGCTATTTACAAATATTTTACACACAGACCCACAGACCCTAAGCTACTGTAATAAAGAGCTTTTGTAATTTGTTTCAATGTAAAAAAAAAAAATGCACAGGTCTTGGGAAGTAAACAGATGTCCTACCTGAAAACCAGCAACTTTACATTCTCAGGATTAGTTTCTAAGCAACTGGTGGAAAGAACTGGTCTTGTAAGTTGCCCTTGAACTTGGGGTAAGTCCACAGGTGTGGTTGGAGGTAAGAGGAGGTTCAGAGCTTTGCTCTGTGCCAGGTGCCCAGCAGGACCACAGCAGGGTTCAAGCCCCCTATGCTTGCAGAAAGTAGCACCGGGGATGTGCCCTGGTTTGCAGTTTGGCACCTAAACTTCTGGGCGCTCTCTCTCCCTCTCTCTCTCTCTCTCTCTCTCTCTCTCTCTCTCTCTCTCCAGAGAATGACAGCTGATTTTATCCTTACCCATGATTGACACAGCCCAGCCATTCCCTGTGAAGCAGGACACAGCCAGCAGAGGGGTGAAGGCAACCCAAAACAGACCTCTCTGGGATGGATTTGTATCAGGGTCGTAAACAATTCGAGGTGGGAAGGGAAAGGCGCTGGGCAAGCACTTGTTGGAGACGGCAGCAAGGAACGTTTCCCCCTCCCTTTTTTTTTTTTTTTTCCCCCATCACTCTTTGTTGTTTGTATTTTTCGTTTTCTTGGTCCAGTTACCTAAAGCACACTCGGGGAGTTGATGGTTTCCAGCTTCCACTTGTAGGCACCTGGGCTTCCCGCCCCCGCCTGCCCCTGTTCTGTCCCACAGCCCATTTTATAATGCAAATCACCACCAACAACATGGCTCTGAATAAAAGATGAACACATCAATTATGAGTCAGCCTGTTTCTAATGCGTACCCTTGTCACGCTGACCTCTTTCTGCTTTTATATTTTTCAGTACCATCCTGACATTTGTCAACTGCAGCAGTTCCAAACCTTTCCACCCTATGATCCTATTATTTTAGCACTCTTCCGACTCTCCCCCTGTCTAATTAGTTTGACCTGAGGCTGTGGCGCGGGCAGGTACGGACTCCCGGGATGGCACTCACCACTGTTTGTAGTCTGCGTCACAATTGCAGTAGTACTTGGGGTCCGTGCAGTTGCGCTCGATGCCACAGGCACACTTCTGAATCCCAGGCTCCGAGCCCCCCCAGTAGTAGTGCTTCTCGTTGGCTTTGCCAACCCACCACGTGTAGGGACTCCCATCTGCAAAAGAGGGAAGGCGCGTTGAGAAACAGGTCTGCTCAGACGGGCGAAGTACTGCCTCCTCCAGGTGCTCAACCCTCTTAAAAGTACATTCAGTAAAAAAGAATTCGAGGGAACGGTAAGCTCAAGCTTTGCCACTGGTACGTGGACGTCTTTCCCCAAAGAAACGTGTTGGTCCTAACTTCTACAACAGGAGTGGGATTCCTAAGTTGTTAGCTCAGCTGAGACCAGTCCACGGTGGAGGGACCTGGGCCAGGAGTCGGTTCAGTGACACACAGCTGACTTCATGGCTGCTCTGACTTTTCTGTGAGTAGATAGTCCTGGGGGTGGGGGACTATTAAAGCCAATGTGGACTTCCACTTTTTCTAAGTCTGGCCTCTTACTTTTCTTCTCTCTCTCTCTCTCTTTCGATACTGGGGATTGAACCCAGGGATGCTTAATCACTGAGCCACATCCCTAGCCAACCCCTTTAAAAATATATTTTATTTAGAGACAGGGTCTCCCTGAGTTGCTTAGGTCCTTGCTAAGTTGCTGAGGCTGGTCTTGAACTCACCATCCTCCTGCCTTGGCCTCCCAAGCTGCTGGGATTATAGGCATGCGCCACTGAGCCTGGCTGGCCTCTTAATTTTCTGAATAAAGAAACTCACATCTAGAAAGTTCAAGCAGTTCTTTTAACCTCCCAGCCAATTATCTCCAAATCTAGAATTCTGACCCAAAGTAGGTACATGGGGGTGACACACTGTACAACTCTCGCTATACAATCTGACCTTTGTATTCACAGGTTTCTACCCTTGGAATCAACGATCTGTGATTCTAATATATATTTTTTTAAATTAAAAAAATTTAGAAAATTGTCTGTAGTAAACATGCCTAGACTTTATTCTTGTCATCATTCCTGAAACAATATAGTATAACAAATTATTTACGTAGTAATGCACTGTACTAGATCTTAGACATGATCTGCAGATAACTTAAAATACACAAGAGGATGCCCATGCAGAGGTTATACACAAATACTGCCCTATTTTAATTGAGCATCTGCAGATTTGGCATCTGCAGGAGTTCTGGAACCAACCCCTAATTACTTTCCTTTATTATTTGGCCGAGTAGTCACTCATTTGTTCATTCATTCATCCAAATCTCAAACATCTACTGGGTTTCCTTTATGTGCCAAATAAAAGTAACCCAGCCAAACAGCGGAGGAGGAAGATGCAGATTGGGAATACAGTTTAATAAGTATTCTGAACATGGAAGAGGGAAGGAAGAGAGGTCATAAAAGAAGCTGTCTCAGAGGAGGCAGACCACACACTGTGTCCTGAAGGCAGATGGGCATTACCCAGATGAGCAAGGACCTAGGAGAGGTGAGGGGTCTGTGCAAAGGGAGCAGGGAGTTAAGACGTGGGGGAAAGTTCTCTGTGCAGAACATGTGCAGGAGCACGTGCATTGGGGTGGAAGAGGCTGAGGGAGGGTAGCGGCCACAGTAAGGGCCAGCCAGGAGGGCCGGCCTGCAACAACAGCAACGACTCTGTCCAGGGAGGCACTGGTCTATTCCAGCTTTTCAATGCCCATTTCTCCTCCATTTTAAAGAGTTTGAACTTTGTACTGAAAACAATGGAAAGCCATAAAGGAGGTGCAGCCGAGAATCATCACGGTCAAGTTTGGGTTTCAAAAGATTGACAATAAGGGAAAAGATGGATTTCTGTGGGATGGAGGAAGGGAGGCCAGATATGATGCCCCCTTGTTAACACAGAAGGGAAATAATAAATAGTCGTGGAAAAGGAGAGAAAGAACTAGACAGCAAGAGATTTGGGTGGTGCACCTGGGCTGGGAGATTGGGGTTGGACAGAGCGGGAGCAGAAGGTATTGTGGATTAGTCCACAGCTTCTGGCCTGAGTGACTAAGGGCAGGGAATAGGGTAGGAGGTCAGGAGTTTAGGGAATGTTGGAAAAAGATGATGAACTTGATGCATACAACAGTTGACTGTTCATGTCTGTATCTCAGGAGCATTTTCTGAGCGGAAAATTCTGTTTCAGAAACCATCAGGGCAAACCAGAAAATATTGGGAGTGGCAGAGATACAGCTGGAATCTTTCAGATCACAAAGCTTTCAAAAAGCCGCAGAAGGAGATGACCCCAGTGAAGGTCCAGGAAGAAGGCAGTGAATGGAGGGAAAACGAAGGAAGGATTTTCAAAAGAGTGGAGTGGCCAGCATTGCCAGATTTCATAGCAAAATCCACTAAGAGGAGGATATACAAGTTTTCTTCTATGTGACAGCAAGGAGGCCAGGGAGACTTTATTGAGAGGGGTTGCCAGTGAAATGGGGGAAGAAAAGCCCAGAGAGAGCCAGCTGAGAAAGGAACAGAAGGGGGACAAGGAGGCCCGACAACAGAGGGCTTTGTTTCAACTTTATTTTACTGTGGTAAGAGTACTTAGCATGGATTCTCCCCTCTTCCCAACTTTCTAAGTGCACAGTTCAGTATTGTTACACGTGTGGCCTGGTCCAACAACTCTAGAGCCCACCCACCCTGGGGAACTGAAGCCCCTGTGCCCATTGGTTAGTAATGGCTCATTCCCCTCTCTTCCCAGCTCCTGGGACTTAGTGTCACCATCTGACTATTTTAGATACTTGCTATAAGTGGAATCCTGCAATTCATGTGTATGCATTTTGCTTTCTCTTCCTATCTCTACTGCTATCTTATTATTTCTCTTCCAAAATAGTGTTATTTTCTACAAGGAAGGAAATTCTGCCATACATAACAACATGGCTGAACCCAGAGGCCATATTCGGAGATCAGATCACTTTCAGAGGAAGCTGGGAAAGAATGGACTCCAGTGGAGGTAGTGCCAGCCGGGGAGGCTAAAAGGCAAGTCCACTGAAATCTCCAGGCCTCTGGGTTGGAATTCCATCATGTTAACTCACCTTCCTCCCTAGATGCTAAGTGCACACTTGTGTCTGTGAGTGCTCAGAAGAAAGATGTGGAGAGTCCTGCACTCATGAATTCTTACTTGAACTATCACAACATCTAAATAACACAATAGAGTAAGGGTGGATCATAATGGAGCTACGTAAAAGCTGACATGGTACCTTCTCTGGTATCCCAGCAGCTTTCAAGAGCAATTTTGTTAAAATGTGGGCAATTTAAAGTCACTGAAAATGGACGGGGAATATCATGCTCCGTGTGATGGGATGGTGGAAGTTCTCATCCTGGAAATGCGTTGTCCATGTATTCTCCTGGTGGAGAGAAATTGCTAGATTTCACTTAATTGGAAAAACTGACTCTTTTTCCTTGGAATGAGCCTTTCTAGAATTTCAGAAGACATACTGGACTTGATCTGATAAACAGTAAAGAGGGAGATTTCCGTATTCTATTCCAGAGATAAATAAGCCAGCTCTCTGAGATAAGGTCTACTTTGAAGCCATGTCTGCTGCCCATCTGGGCCTTTCCCAGCACCTGGGGGGGCTTGTGTTTGCTTCCCACATTTATTATTTTGTTTCTCCTTTCTCTGTCAGGGTAAAGGGCAAAACACCCAATGTTTTATGCTTCCCAGTATTGAAAACATGACTAATAATACACTTTTGATTCCAGAGTTTCAAAAATTAAGGCTTGAAAAATACCACTTATGGCAACTGTCTAGTGTGAGCCATCCCCAGAGATGTCTGGGTGATTTGGCCCCAGAACTACTCCAGGTTCATGTGGGACCCACCTCTGGCCTTGTTACAGGAAAGAACAAGGTGAAAGTCCAGGCTGATCTGGCAGAAGGCTCATCAGGTCTACCAGACCTCAACTTGACCCCATGACACAGAAACACCACCAGGTTGGTTATCAGATCTATTTATGTATTTATTTATTGCCTACCAGGGATTGAACCCAGGGGTACTTATCCACTGAGCCACATCCCCATCCCTTTTTTATTTTCATTTTTTTAATCTTAGGACAGGGTCTCACTAAGTTGCTTAGGGTCTTACTAAGTTGCTGGCTTTGAACTTGTGAACCTCCTGCCTCAAGCTTCTGAGTTGCTGGGATTACAGGTGTGTACCACCACACCTGGCTTATTGCATCTTTTAAGGTTGACCTAACTCTAAATTCTTTATTCCAAAGGAAAGTTTGGTTAATATCATTGTTTTTTGGAAACTGTAACACACTTAGGAGAAGGAAAGAAACAGACCAGACACAGGTAAAACTGGAGTTAATGGAAGAGTATGTATCTCAGTGTCTCAATTTCCTTTCACTGAGTGATTGGAGGCACCTAAAACATGTTTCTTTTCTTGTCACTTCTTATTCTAGTCTTTTAAAGTCTTTCAATTGTTATTGCTTTAAACTGCTTTTCTCCAAAGCCAATTAACAGGTAAATAATAATTTGTAAAGCAACAAACAGCACTTCATTAGCACAGCTCTGGAGTAAAGAGGTTCTTCGCTCCAAGTAAATTGAACTGTTCTCCTCTTCCTGAATATAAAATATACACCAAATTAAAAATTAATTTTAGTTATAGTGATTTAACCAAATTAGCCAGTGTTAAACACAAAGGGTAGAATTGGCATTTGCCCCTGTGCTACTGAAACAGTTTGCTATTGGCAAAACATATCTCCATTATAGTCAGTGACAGTGATTTGCATGAACTAAAGAAGCTCACATGGATCTACATTCTTGGTAAAAATCAGAACAATGTCAGTCAAAGGGGCAAAACAATAATCAGCATCACTTTTAGGATGAGACCATGGCAAATGCAGATGAGAGACAGCTAGTTCCCAACAGCACTTCAGGAAGCACCCAGCCCTGGAGAGAAAGCCTCACTGTGAAGTTGTCTGGGCAGCATGTGCCCAGCAGGAGCCCCCAGCACAGGGCCCAGGGTCTGCTAAGTTGCACTGCAGACCCTCAGTTCACTGTAGGCGTGGGCTCTTGTTAGACACCAGGGGGAAGATCTGCGATGACATTTCCTCTGTCGATGGTAAAGAGGTGACACGCCAGTGACTGGATAAGAGTGGCCTGGTTTCTCAGCTC